ATTTTATTTTATTTTATTTTATTTTATTTATATGTACGTTCAGAATACAGGAGAAATGATAGAACGGAAAAGTTGTTTAAAGATACTCAGCATCCTCTTCCAGTTTAACCCTCATTTGCTTACAAGATCAAGGCTAGCAGAAAACGCATAGGGCTTGAGGAGAGATGGAACGTACAAGGGATGACCAGTGATGACTTTAGGCAATACAGTTAAGAAGAGTGGTGATTCCTGGTTTACACACACATGATGCAGTGCAGTTACACCTTCTCTGTCGAAAAATGAAGTTGATCATGCAGTCTCTACAGGATCCCTGCAAAGCCCTTCTCAACTAGCTGGTGTGACAAAAAAAAGACCCACATTTGCCCTTTCCAAGCATTAGCAGATAAAGGATGGCTAACTCTTAATGCATGCACAAATCCAGGAGACTCTTATTCCTCCTTTACTGCATGCAAGACTGTTTACAGTCTTTGCACCCAAATTAAAGGTTTCGTATTCCACACATTCTGTAAGCCTTTCAGCTAAAACAGGCAAAAAGAGAGATGTGTTTGTTCCTGCACACACTAATCAAAAGTGGATAAAGAGAAATTACTGCAGCCTCTTAAAAAAAACCCCAAACCAAACTCAAAACAGAAGTTAAACATATGTCTGTATTTTGGGAAGAAAACTACAGCTAACTTCAAACACAAGGGTGGTGTATGCAGAAATGCATCCATTCAATGACTCTAGCTCCCCTAAATACATGTGTCTGGTAAACAACAGGACAAACATGTAAACTGAGGTCAAACATCTGCTTAACTGTCTTCTTTATCACGTTCTTACAATTGTTCAAATTTTACCACATTTTAATTGCAGCATAAGGAAGTGTGTGAGGAGCACTGGCAAAGTATAACTGGAACCTTCATGTATTTATGAAAGTGTGTAAATTAATTAGTAGGCTTCACAGATTTACTGGGCAGAGATAGCCCTCTGAATCCTCTAGCTAAAAGGGTACACAGCAAATGCATGCCTACATTCATAAGCATCCCTATGTAAATCACATACCAACATGAACAGCTTTTACATAACTAAGTGCAATGTGACAGCAGGATATGGCCATTTGCTGCCAGCTCAAATGTCACTTTGCATTCTTATATGTACAGAGGCTTAGCCTCTGTTGTTTTTGACTCTAATTGGAGGTGTATAACCTAAAGCAGAATGGGAGTATTGCATTTTAAAAAAATTGTCAGAATTTTCTGTCCAGTTGGCAACAACTCTAAATAAAGTGCGAGACATTCTGTATCAGGTTTATCTCTGACGTTGACACTTAGTTCTCCAGAAATGGAAAAAAAGTCAAGGGTCTGGCTGTAAGACAAACTTTATACAAAGTGAGTTTAAATAGGATAAGGTCACTCCATTCTACCCTTCACTGGCTGGTGGCCTTACCATCAGCAGAGGAGCTATAAGACACAGAATTCTGTTAAGCACCAAAAATCTTACCGGAACCTGTGTCTGAACATCATCAGGTTTGTTTTCCGCAAATGAACATTTCCTAGTCTGTCCTCGCCTGTGGCCAAACTTGCATTTGTTCCTCAGGACTTGCTCATCATCTTCAATGGGTCTTCGCACATACTTGAAACGATCTTTAAGGGCTCGTTTCCATAGCAACTGCATAGGGAAAAATATCTGTCATTATCAGTATGTTTCAAGAATTTGCCCCATTCCTAAAGCAGGTCACTTTTTTTTATCTGACTGTTTTATATAGAAGCTTTTGCCACTAAGCAGAAAAAGACTCATAGGGTGGCATCAGCACACATGTGGCTTCAGGACCGAAGGAAACACAAGCACCTGTGGTACATGACTATGGCAACTAAGCAGCAGGGCTGCTGGCACTGGCGTGGTTCATTAAGGATGACGGTAATTGAACCTAAGGGCTAGATTTAGCCAATATAACCAGGGCTGTCAGTGAAAACGCAGTTCGCTTTCATTTTCTCAGCTGTACTTTTGGATGTTCCATTGATGACATCAGATCATGAAACTACCCAGTGAATCAGATCAGCTCACTGATGCCACAGAAGACTAATGGGTTATATTTGAGTGGATTGTTTTTCCCCTGCCTCTGACCAGTTGTACAGTTGAATGATTATCATGTCTAACACAAGGGAGCAGAAAAGACACAGTGGGACACTTTCTTTTGCAGTAAGCCTACAGTTGCACTGGATCAAGTGTATTATTAAGCTGAACTCAAAATTACTGAATTACAAGGATCATTTAAGCATGTGAGAATCCTCAAGGCATAGCAACTTAAAGGCAGTTCTGCATATCAAGTGGATGCAGTCCATGTTTAAAGGAGTCACTTGTCACTCCTTGGCTGACGAATGCCCTCGTACATTCCTTACGGACAGATGGCTGTTCACCTGCGATCCGGGGCTGCATATCCCATGGCAGGACCCAGCTGCACCAACTACCAGCACGTTGGGAAGCAATTACTAAGCCAAGGCTGCTAAACATGTCTGCAAGCAAACCCTCCGGTTGCAGATAATGAAAATGTTGTCAGATCCTGAAAAGCGACTGCTTATTCCAGTTACCAGGGGTTTTCTCAACAGTCAGAGGAAACAAAAATTAGCCAGAAAAGTGACTGTAAATGACAGGACATGGCAAGAGAGATTCAAATAGCCATTACCTCTTTTTTAAAAAATTTACTTCAATATTGTACTCAGTACTATACTCAATCCTGTACTCACTGACATACTAAACCACTGTTCAGAAGAACAATTACCCCAAATTTCTTACCAAAATCATGTCCTTTATTAGTCAAGGTCACATGACTTTAAGCATTACTTTGGTGAAAACAAGAATTCAGTGAAGACTAAGTAGTACAGTATATTTCTCTGCATCAAGTCTGACATACCAGTCTTTCTCAGCCACAGGGTATGGGTAAGACAGTCTCTTAAAAGACAGTGGTCAAAGCAGTGTGACCTTGCTTTTCTCCTGCCAAAAATACTGCTCCCATCTCCCATGGGTATTAGGTGACTTACCAGTCCTCAATCCTAAAAGCAAGAGCACCACGAATGATCAAAAATGAGAGCAGTGGAGCTACAACAGTATGGGCCCTGTGGTGTCTACCTCAGCTCTTCTTGAGCAGACCTGGGCCAGCCAGGGCAGGTGTCCCCTTCCTGGGGGGACAGTTTCTGACTCCCACCTACAGGCTCCTTACAAAAGTATCCTCTCACTGCTGGTCACATGTGAGCATATGACAACTGAAAAGAAAACAAACCTATCTGCATTTCTATTATGTAAACTTCAGATTTAGGATTCTGCCAGAACAGGAGTCACTGACGTAAATTGTAATGATTAGAGCACCTGGTCTTCTCAGAAGGCATATTTACAGCCTCAGTTTGAGTGTTACACCCCAGCATTTTCAAGAGGAGTAATGTGAATGCATGCCTTGAAAATCTCATTTGGTATCTGCCTGAACTTTTAAGGTTCCTGAATTCTTTCAGGATTCCAGCCCGATGCATTTACATTTTGATGTAAATAGTCCAGTGTTATATGCCTAGCAAAATATATTTGGAACATTGTTATTTTAAGGCTGTTAAGAAACAAGTAAACAAAAGCCTTATCTTAATGCTTCTTTGAAGTGTTCAACAGATGTTAAAATATTTTAAAACATGATCATCTCAGAATACATTAGCATCTGACAATTTAAATATCCCCTTATTTGAGTTTTGTGTGATTTCTCACTTTTAAAAACCTTTGTTTGGCTAGAAGATATTTTTACTTGTTTTTCCACATGAAGGAACATGCTGACACCCATACAGAGCTTTAAATGTCCCTCAAAGTTCAAAACATTCAGCTGTTTCATCCTCCTGTCCTCATATAAATTAAGAGTTTTAACTAAATCTATTTTTGGAATAGGATTCTCGGAAGCTTAGCAAAGTCCCTTCTCACATACCTATGTCATGAGTGAGACTGTGAGCACATACATTTATGTGTCTTCCCCAGTGGGTAATGCACCTTCTAAAAAGGATGTTTTTATTAACATTTTTGAGCTGATAACTTCATTTTTGATTAATTCTGCCCTGCAAAAAAAGCCCAAACCACCCCAGGAAGGTTTCCAGTGTTTGTAGGGGAGCAAAAGGATTAGTCTGTGTCTATCTGACATAGGAGGGAAAGGATTACACGCAGATTAAAAGCAGTAATTTACTAGCGAATAATCACTTTGTGTGCAGCGGTTACATAAATCAGGCGTGTCAGCACTGAGATCCCGGGTTTCGCCGGCATCACGGCACCACTCGGCAGCCCCGAGCTGGAGGGAGTGAGGTGTGGGTGAGAGACCCCTTTCCCTTCCTCACATATGGCTGTCTTCAAATCACACAGTTTTCAATCAATGGCTGCAAGGTTTATTTCATTTCAGAGACTCTTTCAAAATGGTTGGCTGTAAGCCATGGGAAAGGATCAAATAGAAATAGAACCGTATCTTGCTGGTCGAGAAACAGTGTCATGGCAATTTTGTTTTGGCTGCTGTGCCCATGACCTTGGCTTTTTCTATAAAAACCTATTTGTTTGTAACTACTTACAAACATTGCATTGGTTATATAATAGATCGGAAAACTAAATCTATTTCATGATTAAATGGATGTTACTTTCTTAAATGTTGTATGTGTTACTTCAGGATAACATTGTTCTTTAAGTAGAAGAAAACATCAAGGGGAAAAAAAAAATCCTTAGGTAGACACCTTAAAACATTTGATTCCAAAAGCTAATCTTGGAACAGGGTGGAGAAATTAATTACATTCCAAATGCTCCACAGACCTCTTAAATGAGTTTTGCTTTTAGTATGAAATGATTTTTTTATTATTACTTTTCAGGCTTTCAGATAATTCTTTCTTAACTCCTGCTTCTACAGTGCCCTAGTAAATAACCTTCTTTTTAAATTCATAGTATATCAGTAGCTTATTCATAACCTTATTTTTAAACTTAATTCATTTAGAATCATTATCGTCATTCACACTATATTCCATTAGAAATCCTTTTCAAGCACCATGACACAAGCAAATTTTTCTCTATTGCAAAATTAATTAGGAAACCTTATAACCAAGAAAATAGAATTAGGATAATCTACTAATAAATCTTGAAACAGTAAACATTTAATGGCCTCTCATTGCAACAGTATGAGATTGAAAATATTAGACTATATTTCTACATAATGCACACATTGCTTAGATTACCTGTTTAAAACAGTTTGGTGTTGTAACTAAAAAGTGTCCGGTATTTTTGAAAAATAAGTAAAAAAGTAATAAAATGGAATGTTCAAAATTTTGCAAGTAGTTTTTTTCCTGTCATGAAAATACTGAATTCATGTGTGAATTCAAGCGCTCTGAGGTTTATTATTCTTCCTTTATGTTTCCCAGCAGATCTTTCCCCTTACGAACTTTCCATGCCATTTCACTTCCGTGAAAATGCTGCAACAAAAGTGCTCATGTTCCCAATTCAAAGTTTGACCATGTTTTCCATTACTTCAAGTTCAAGGAGGAGCTTTCCTCTTTTCCCAGCCAGAATGCTCCACGGACTGCCCCTGCCCACCCACGCCCTGCACGGGCGTGAATACTGGCCGTGGAGAAACTCAGAGCAGTTTCCACTGCATTCTCCCAGCAGCCCAGACACAGCCATGGCTGGCGAAGGGCTCCAAACCCTAAATCCCATGAGTTAAAAATAAAATCACACCACTGACAGATCTCCTAAGGGCATCTCGTGAAGAACTCCTGCAGCCTTCTGCACAGCCCAGCAGATGCTCTGGCTGCTCCTCCACCCCAAAGGGTAAGCAATTGCCTTCCTTTTAAGCGTAAATTTAGAGATTAACTGAATCTAAGAACCCAGACATAGCACAGCAATAAAGAGCAATAAATTAATGTCATTAACCATACATGCATGGCAGAAAGGCAAACTCTCGACAGCAGAGGCGAGTTCCAGCACACCAGAGGGAAGGCAAACCGTGGTAGTCCAAACTATACTCAGCCCTTTCCTTTTCTGAAATGCATCCAGTTCTCTCCTTTTCCTGGAACTTTGACCAGAAATTAAAAGTCTGGATACTTGAAAACATGTTTGTTGGGATTCTAAATAAGCTCGAATAACTTCATTAATCTACCAGTCCTGGAAACCATTATTCTTGGGGGCCTTCCCAGCTAATTGCCATGATTGGTGTGTCCCTTTCTTCAGCCTTACCACACCCTGAAGGGAGAGGGTTACCCATCAGGCACAGAAATCTGTGCACAGCTGGTCACCCGAGGGTCCCTTTGGAGCCCACAGAAGGGAACGAGAACATCCATAGTGCTGTTCCTCTCTTCCCAGTGTAGAGACCAAGAAAACATTATACTAACTGCATCTCCAGAAGTTTACATATGTGTTATTTAATAATTAACATACCTAGCATTTTTGCTTAGAATACTACTCTCATGTTACAGTTTTATTTTCTAAATCTAGCTCTCAGTCCCCAAATAAAAAGCTGCTTTACCTCTGAATTATTTTACTGATGATAGTTTTCTTAAAAACTTTCAATGTACTATTCAAAAATTGTAACAATAAGTGTTCAATTATTACAAATAAACAAGTTTAAGGTATTCAGAACCTCTCAGTAAGTAATATTTTATGTCTCACAAGACCTGTAATTCAATGCTGTTAACAGGAACAGCAAAAAGCAATTCCTATAATTCTGTGCTAACCTGCAGCAATTTTAAAAGAAAACTCTACAAAAACTTTAGTTTTTTGAGCTGCTGAAGACACTTTCTTCTGAGAGAAGATGAAAGAATCATGGTTAGCCAATTTTTTGCTACTGCTGCTCATTTGTTTCTTAAAGGTATATGAACTCAGTTCAGAAAGCCTCATGCTAAATAGCTGTGCATATGTTGCAGGGTTTGTTTTAAGCCACTGCTGTTGTAACACACAACTATCTCAGATCAAGAAAAAAGAAGTATTTATAGCCTTTATGATCATGAAGGAAGAACAGAATGTCTAACAGTAGGGCCAGTAAAAATAGTCATTCAATCTCACCCCCACCTCCAAATTTAATTATACAGACATGCATCTTTAGTGTGCTTTTTTTCCTACCTCAAACAATAGAGAGGGGCCAGCTCAGAAGCGTTAGACTAGCAATATTGCAAACTGCTAATTCCAGCTTCCTTGCTTATTTATGGTGATTTCTTCCAGATATGCTTTCTAGTAACCACAAGAGAAATATCAAAAGATAAAGAACAACAACTGTGAAATCTCTGCCCCATCAAAACTTCTGCAGGCACCAATTCTGGGATAAATCCAGAAAGCGATGAGCTATTCCCAAAGAATCGAGTTGTAAGTAGTTCCACTCAATCTATGGTCTGGCTGCAATGAAAGGCCTTTGAAAACCGATCTTAAGAACCTCTGTTTAAAAATAGGGTTTAGAAGTCAAAGGACTTTAGACTCATCCCTTCACAAAGGGAGCCAGATGAAGCCCCAGCATTACCCAGGACCCAGCTGTGGATGCCCACTGGGGTTTCAAAGAGGAACCCGGGTTGAAAATAAGGGTGGACCATCACTCTCTGATTCTTCTGCTCCCTCTCTCTTTCCTGAGATGTGTTTGTTTTCTTTAGTCCCTTCCCTCCTGGGCTCAGGGGAGAACTAGAATAGCCACCCCTTAATCCTCACATTTTTTTATTCTCAAAGTTATTTTGCTTTCTGCAGAAACTATACAGAGATATATATTTATAAACATTTAAAGCTAACAATCCCCGCTGAGTTTCACAAGCTTTTACAAGATGCTATAAAAGTATCACACGGCAAAGCAATGATGCGAAGTCAAAAGGTGAACACTGTCCTCTGAGATCACAGCTAGGTACTCTGGGTCACAAGAGCGAAAAAAATGTAGTTCAAATTCAAGTTATCTCCTTCCACTGCTTTCTCTTATGGCCCCACTGACATCCCAACCAATGTTTTTAAATAAATTTTTTTTTAAATTTAATTAGATCTAGATTCCCAGCATACCTAAACCAGCAGGTATTTAACACACAAGTGATTATAGCACATTGCGAGAGCATCGGTCATGTTAGTCGTCATACAGACAATTTTCTAAAGGCTTGGCTTCTTTGTTTTTAAAAACAAAAATAAGTCACATTTATTTAAATTCATCCTTTGGGGTAAATCAATCAAGAAATAAACTGTACCCAACAAGCAACCAGGGATTTCATGTACAGGCCTGCATGATCTCACAGAGCCTTTGAGGAACGGCTGTAACTGGATTAATCTTTAATTAGTATAATGAAATAAGAATGCAATTTGCCAAACACGTCAAAGTGAAGCTTACATCTCTGAATAGAGCCAGTATATAGGAAATGAATATTGATTTGCTCTGAATTAGGTTATTTTCTTGTGATTGATTATGCAGAAAAAAAAATATTTCTCTGTTTTTCAAAGCCATTACAATACTTACAAAGCCATTCCCGTCTTCATCGAGGAATGGGTATGCCTGCAGTAGAGCATTGACAACAATGTTATATTGCTGACTGTTCGGATACCTGTGCAAACAAGATGGAGATGTAAAAGAAATAGTTCATGTTCTAGAGACAATATTAGCCACTGTCTGGAGTCCATACCAATATTCAGGGGACTGGTTAGCTCAGTGGTTTGAGCACGGTGCTGACAACAATGACCGACACCGAGGTCGTGGGTTCGACTCCTGCTCGGTCGCCATGTGTTGCCTGGTCTAGTCGAGAGGTGGCGTCCTTGCCCATGACAGGGAGGTTGGACTAGATGATCTCTAAGGTCCCTTCCAGCCTAGGCCATTCTATGATTCTTTAGCTGTTGATTTCCATCCCCTCCCCCAAAAAACCAAAGGGAACAGCTTTAAGGTTTGCATGATATCTTCCTGTTGACTTCAACAGGTTTCAGGCCCTTACCTCCTCTATTAAAGCAAGCATATTGAAGAGAATGTTTTGCATTCATTTGAAAAATTACTTTTGCAGCCAACAGGTAATGCCTCCAAATAAATATAATGAAGTTTACTCACAGTGATCCTTCTAGGTATTTTGTCATGTCTGCTTGCAAAAATTCGATAATCCTTATTCTCGTACTGTGATCAGGGCATTTTTTTTCTGCTAATATGCACTTGACATCATAAGGGAAGTCTGGCAAAACATAAGAACTTGTCCACTGCAACGTCTTGTGTCTTGCAAAAAATGATTTCAAGTTTTTTCTGTGAAAGAAAAGATTATATCAATCAAGAGCACATCCTTCTTCTATGGGAATTCAAGCAAGAAGTAAAGAAAAATACAAGCAAAAATTCAACACAGAGGAAAATTATTGCCATAGGAATTCAAGGCTTGCTCTCTTGGCTTCTGCACAAAGAATGCCCACAAAAGCTGCAGTCATTCACATGGGGTTAAAACCAGATTTCAGTTGTGAAATGTTTTAATCAGCAGATGCTAGAAGGTGGTCACTAACTAAAAGCAGAAGGCGGAGCGGAGGAAGTCACTGGGGACTTGCTGCAGTTGCACAATAACTATATCTGTCATAATTTATAATATGTTTCCAACCAGTTCTGCCAACTTACTCATGAAAAGCAAGCTGAACAGTTTAATTGACTAAAATACTATACATAATATTATCTTAGATTATCCCCTCAAACGGGAAAGCAGAGAATGGACGAAGGCAGCCATCATCGACACAATGGATAGAAACAGCCCGTAGGTACCCACAGCTCCCATCCAGAGAAGACCATCAGCATTATTTAGAGATGTTGCAGCCCAGCTGGGGTGAGCCTGAGGCAGGCTATCACCACTGGCTACTCAAATGCTTCCCACCTCCAAAGAGCCTGCCAAACTAATTCTGAAGGAACACAGGGAAAAGGAGAGATAAATTGAGTTGGAATTCAATCAAAAGCCACCTGAAAGGTGGTGTGGTTCTTGCAGCTCTAGACACCTTCCCAATCATAGAATCATAGAATCGTATCAGCTGGAAGAGACCTAGAAGATCATTGAGTCCATCATTTGTCCGAGCCCTATCAACCTACTAAATGATTCCTCCCAACACAATATCCACCCATCTCTTAAACACCTCCAGGGATGGTGACTCAGCCACCTCCCTGGGCAGCCTGTTCCAGTGGCTGACAACCCCTTCAGTATAGAAATTCTTCCTAATATCTAGCCTGAATCTCCCCTGGTGCAATTTAAATCCATTTCCCCTCGTCTTATCACTCTCCACTAGGGAGAATAGACCAACATCCACCTCTTTACAACCTCCCTTCAAGTAGTTGTAGACAGCTATGAGGTCTCCCCTCAATCTCCTCTTTTCTAGGCATCATAGTAGTCCAGAAAGAAATTTCAAATGAGAGGTGCAAAGACAACTAAAGAGTCCTGTTATGTGTGTGCTATCACTGCAATTTACATTTGCTTTAATTTAAATTGCTCTCTGCAATTTGGAAACAAATACCAGACTTTTAAAAGAACTTTTAAATTAAAATGCTATTATTATAGATGACTAATGTAGATGCTTACATGGTATAAATATACAGATATGTATATCTGAATTAATCATCTGCACTCCCTTTATATTCACTGAGACATAAACATGACCGAAGGATGACAACAACCAGAAGACATCTAAATCATACCAGATGTTCTCTTTCATCTGTTTCTCTTCACTAATTATGAAGGAAATTAAGACAGTTACCACAGTTGTTGAAAACTATACTGCACATGTCTCAAGTTAGGAACCCCCAACCTGGTAGGTGAAAGCTCCCACACAGAGACACATGTTTGGACTAGGGCATGCTCTCATGTCCCTTCCAAGCTGCACTATGGAGGGAAATCCTGCCACACTTCAGTCCAGTCAAAATGCACAAGTTTTCACTCCTAAAGGTCTCTGTAGTAGCTTAAACAAGAGCTAGCTATAAAAGAATTGTCAAAAGAGTTTCAGTGAGGTCTTCACTGGGAGGTTTTGCTATCCAGCCTCTTTCAGATAACTATGTAAAAAAACCCCACATGGTAACCAGTATCTTTAGGCTGTCTAAATCAACTACAGTACCAAAATCAGCTGCAATGGATGAACATTTGCAATAGTTTAGCCTATAACACTGTCATGGGTTTGAGTCTGATGGGTTTTTTTGGAAAAGCAGGGGTAGATTTGTGAGAAACCTTGAGAGCCCTCCCCGCCCAGTTAGGAGTTGGACCTGCCTCTGGCCAGGGTCAGGCCAATGATTGCCCCTGCAATCAAGGTATTTAAGAGGCAACTCCGTTGTTCTTTCTTTCTCTCTTGGTTTTGTCTTGTTTTGAGCTGTCCTGTCTTTAATGTTGCAGAGTTTTTCTGTTGTAGAAGGGGAAGGTGAGAAGAGAAGAAAGGAACATTGTCCTGAGAAGAAAGAAGGGGAGAAGAGTCCCTGAGGAGAAGGAGAGGAAGAGGGCTGCCAGAGCAGGACCTTTCCCTGGAGCCCTGTGGTGGCTGAGAGGCAGGAAGGTGACTGCCTGCCAGCTGAGGAGACTGAGGGTGGTGAGAGTGTCCAGCACGCATCAGTACGTGCAGAACTCCATGCCAGAGGGGAGAGAGACCAAGCGTCAGTGGGGGACACACCTGAAGCGACCCGTGGTCCCAAAGGACTCATGAGAAGGGAGTCTCCCTCCACATCACTGTGGAAATCGGTGTGGGAGGAGGAGTGAGCTGGAGACCACGTGGTTCTTTGTCCCAGTTGGCTTGAACCACGACAATCACTTTGAAAGATTATTATATATCTAGAAGGTGGAAGATTTTGGGTCCCTATAGCATTAGTTATACTTTGAGTAGGTTAGCTTATAACTCTTATAATCTTGTTGACCTGGTTGTGCTGCCAAACCATCTTGGCATCTTTTAATGTAGGTTGCTAGCTTGCAGGCTAATAAAAGCTCTGCAGCCATGACGTAGGTTTACCAATCCCAGCACTACTGCAAATTGCAATGCAGTGCCGAAAAAAAAAATAAAATTTGGGTACTGTCATCTGATCCACATAGATACAATAACAGTAGTAGCAGTACTCACAGCACTACTGTTTCCCCATGCAAAATGGGTACAAAATGGCCATGGCTGCGTCTCACCAAGCTCGCCAAGATTTTTCGGAAGGCAGATGGTTGACAGTAGATGCAAACTGTAGTGAACTCCCGTTAGTACTTTGCAGTCTCAGAAGAAGGAAAAACTGTGAGAAGTGACAGACATATCCACAGAGACACATTTGTGTCCTCCTTTTGGTGATAAATTAATACACAAAAGGGAAAATAAACCCCAAACCACATTCTGAAATCACTTGGAAATCACTCCTATGCAGACAAAGCACAGAAGTTCAATGTAGCATCAATGACAAGCCTATAAATTTGAATCCTGTTCTTACAGCAACTTTACTGAGGAGTGTGATGTAGCAGACAGGCTGCAAGTTACTACATACTATTTTCAACATGCTATCATTTAAACTACCTCAAAAATGTACAGAAGTTTAAAATGTGCAGTTATTTGTAGCTAAGCAGCACCAGTATTCCTGTTGTTTCTAGTACCGCTGATGCATAATTACCATTTTGAAAAGTGGAATGGTTTAGCAGGTTTAGTTCAGGCAGTCCCTTCACACTTGCCAATACAACAAAAATACTCTAAATTCCACTTCTCTTCAGCTTTGCCCAACATAGAAAATACTTCCTTGCCATCCAAACAAGATCTTTACTAGCTTTTGCTGAAAGCATTGTTGCTAGGCAGTCATGTTAAATAGGTGCAGCAATAATTTACAATGAAATACATGTTTATTTGAAAAGAGACACAACTTCATGCTAAACTATATCCCCAGAAATGTTCACATGCAAAGCTCAGTAGCTAAAAAACCAGTTCAGTTAAACTGTATGTACACTGGGATTTATGCATATAGCCAATATCTTACTTGAACGTGGAGAACAGCATTTCAGTTAGAGATTTAGGTACAAACAAATATAGCCCGTTTTAACTATCCTTCTCTGGCCTTCTAGCTAGCCTGAGACACAGAGATACAATCAAGATCCCAAAGAACAAATTCCGACATCTTTCCTTTTCTCTCAGTTCTTAACAGACTCGATGCTGCAGCTGCTGCTGTGTCCATCCCGCTCTCCCCCTGCCATCACATGTCTCTACCCCTTTCTTACTGGTACTGGGAAGCTTCCAGCTCTGCAGCAAGTTACTTTAAGGAGTTACAGTGATGAAATTCTTCATTTTTCTTCTTGGTTTTGTTTTCTCGTCCCCTGAATGCCTCCCCATGAGGTAAAGTAAATACCAGTGCAGATGAAGCAAGTTGGTCTCTTTATGTTTAGTTGCAATATGGAATGGCAGCCTAAGAGCATCTTCAGCAAGGATACAACTAATCACGAGTTTTGACCACTCAGCTTTTGTAGATGACCGCTTTACTTGCTGTATGAAGCCACAGCACAGCACTGTTTCACGCAGTTATTTCTTTCTTTGGTTCCATTACAGCCTTTACTGGTCATGCACAGCATGTTTCCTGAGACATGAAACTATAAAGTAACGTTATTTTGGGAGGAGCCATTTGTCTCCTTCAGCTTGCAAAAAAAATCCAAAAGAAACCCACAACCCCTCCCACATAAAACCCAAACCACAAAACAAAACAAACCCTCATCTATTTGAAGTATATAGTCTCGGGACCCCTAATCCCAGGGAATATCTTAGTTTACTGCCAAAAAGGCAAGCATTTTACACACTTGCAGCATCACGCACATCATTCAATGAAGGTTTTAGACTGCGCTGGAGTGAAGAGTGGTGAGTGAAGACAGCACCATGGTCTCCAAGCTCAGTATCCTGTGAAACCTCATGCAGAGAGGCAGAGCTGAGTGAATTATCTGTAACAAGTCAGTAAAAATAATCTTGTCAGGGGGCCGGTTAGCTCAGTTGGTTAGAGCGTGATGCTGATAACACCAAGACCGCAGGTTTGATCCCTTTTCGGTCCCCATGTGTTGCCTGATCTAGCTGAGAGGCGTCCCTGCCCATGACAGGGAGGTTGGATTAAATGATCTCTAAGGTCTCTTCCAGCCTATGCCATCCTATGATTCTATGATCAATATAGCGAGCTGAGTCAAGATAGTTGTGCAAAATACAGTAGATACCTAGAAAGAGATTCAAATACTAGATCATGTGATTTTATAATTTTTTAAGCTTCTGAGAATACTGGCAAAAAGAATCAGTTTCCTGCATTTATTTATT